GATCTCTCGATGTCATGCTTATGTTTTCACTCCACCAGCTATGAGATCTTACATACAGGAAACCGTGTGAAGTTCCCAATGATGTCCAATAAATTCAATTACGCACAGGTGGGCTCCAGTCGAGCACATCAACAAACACTGATAACACCAGCTCAATTGCGAGTGTCATAGCAAAGGGTGTGAAAATGTGTTTAATTGGGATATTTCTGCATTTGTTTTTAATGAATTACCAAAACACTTTTTTGCTTTGCCATTGTAAAGTAGTGTGCCGATTGATGAGGCAAAAAATGACTTGAAACCTTTTGAAGGTGAATCTTAAATCTAAAAATATATATTTAAAAAAACCCAGTCTGTTATTATTACCAACCTCTGATCTGTGTGGATCCTCACCTGTGTAATGAGAGGCCTGTCTTCCTCACAAACTTCATTGTAGAGGTTTTCTTTCCTGTAGTTGGCATCACGCACAAACACCTGAGCGTGGAGCATGGGGGTGTAGCAGAGCTGAGCGCCGTGCCGACGGCTCAGCAAGCGCCAGGCCAGCTCGCTCTGGTCCACCATGGGGGCCACCACATAGCGCGCTTGCTTCAGGGTGTCACTCCAGAACTCAAAGCCCTGGAGCTTGGCCATCACAGCTGACTGCACAAGAAGAGGAAGGACAACAGTTTGTTAAAGACGCCATAGAGCGCTAGCTAACACACGGCTGTTAGAAAACTATCTAACACAGCTCATTAATTCATTATTTATGAATCGAAAGGCTGCAACTTCACATTTCTGTGGTGTTGCTGTTCAACAATGAGACTAATGCTGGAATGCAATCTTATTTCAGTTTGCAGATTTGAATTTTAAGGAGCTGTTTATCACATTTATCAGTGTGAATTGTGTGGTTCAGGCTGCACATTATGGTTTATCTGATATTTGTCCATCTCATTGTAATTCATATATTTTGCCGCACGTCTGACCGAGAGTTTAAACTGCTGTGTTTGATGGTTTTATGTCCTCCTCGTATAACTTTACTACGTTGATGCTGGCTCATGTAGAGAAGCTCCATCGTCAAGTTTGAAATCTATTACCCAGTAATTACTGAACAAGAGCGTGAACTGCTTTTAAATGTTTTCACCAAATTACTCAGGCATACCCAGAACTTTTGCACAATCAGTGCAACAAAACAAAAATGATAATTCAACGAGAATAAGAAAAAGTGTAACAGATACACCTCTTAACTCTGTAGGTTGCCCAAATTTTAAAATTTCCCTCCACCTCGTTGTCAATGTTTTGCAACTCAACTGCAAACTTTCTGTGGATCTTGAGATTTTTACTAAGCCAATATAGAAACCAGGAATTACTCCTGTAGATGGGCCACCTTTGATTACCCAACAAGATTTAGGGGTCGTTCCACCTCAATTCACCAGAAGGCTTGTAGACTATGCTACAAACAGTTCAGTTCTGCTTTTTCAGCAGCGAACATCACAGACGCTCCTGCAAGATGGCTGCGGATCAAGCGGGGTGATCCGTGGACAACACAAGCCTGGGCCTGGTCAACCCTAGCTGGGTCGCCTGGGAGAGGGTGTATGATGATGCGAGACCCGAAACACCCAATGACCCCCCAGGATACATCACTGAAGAAGTGTCTGAGAGTTGCATGTGTAGTGTATGTTAAGAACACACTCCTGTTGTTAACCCTGTATATTTCATGAGTGTACAAACATGGTCTCGGGCGTTAATATTTCCTTACATTGAACAGACCACAGAATCTCAGCATATGCATTGAGGTACCTTTAATGCAGGATTTAAACATCTCTAGTATCGGGGAAATGTTTTCTTAAATTTGAAGAGGATACCTTAAATACTTCTTAAAATATTGTCATCCAAAGGCAGGGTCTTGCACGAATTTGGCGATAACAACAACAACAACAACAAAAAGATCTTGATGATGAACCTCTATCCCCAAATGTTTTAAACCCAATCCGAGATAGTCACGCAGGAAGATTTTCTGAAATCTGGTGAATTGAGTTGGAGGTTTTGGAGCTCTCTTTTCAGCCATTACATGCCTTACATGTAAAGCTGACATTCATTTTCATTTAGCATGCATTAGTCATAAATAAAACATTCTTGGTAAACATTATTGTACAACAACAGCTAACACTTGAGGTTGATTTTAGCTACACGTTTTCAGGCTTATACCGTCAGTAGTTACTCGGTCGTTTTTAAAATGAGCTGTTGGTGTGAAGACAAAAGTTAATGGTGCCTGAGTGAGATGTTCCTCCAACCACACAGTCACCACAACGTGACTAACACACTCAGATGTTGTCACCTGGACAAATGTCGACTCGTCTCACAACGTTAGCGAAACCAAAGTTAGCATCCCGGGTTTAATATCGGTCTCATTTCTGTGTCTGACTTCTCTGTCTCCATTAGTGGCTGCTGTAGTTAGCTGTGTGTGCACTGCAGCATGCAGCTAGCAGCTAACTGCAGTCAGTTGGAGCACATGATGCCGCATTAAGTTGCTCAGCAGCAGCGACTTTCACCAAAGAAAACGCCACAATAATCCTCCCGTGACAGCTTCATGCGTCGCTGTGCTTATTTACTCACTGGACCTGTTTACAAAACGTGTAAATAGTTTGTTGCTTCACCTGTAATACTGTGAGATTTGGAGAGTATTCCTGGCGCAGCACTTTCCAACTGTGTGCAGCAGTGAAATAACACCGACGGGAAACATTTTCCAGAGAGCGGAACCGGCTTCGGCCTCTTCTTCTTCTTCTTCTTGGTTCCGTGTGAGTCGGTGTGTTGTCGCCTCCTTTTGGCTGCGATGTGTAAATGCATGAGAGCAGTGTTGGGGAAAGGAAAAAAAACTCCACTACAAACACTTTATTTCATTATAATAATAGAACCTAAATAAAAAGAGATTATTTAAAACAATTTAAAAAGTTATATTGCATGTTTAGGATCGTATCTAATTTATTATTGTCATAATGCAATTCCTAACTTTGTTTTGAAAGGTGCTACGCAATTATTATTGACAATGTTATTTACCATTAAATGCGAGGAATAAACAATATGCATTAAATGATATAATTCTGAAAGATGTTGTGATTGTAATATGAGTCAGGATTTTAGTGATAAATTGTATTTTTGAATTTCTTTTTCACTTAAAAAAAATGTTGGGGATTTTTGCTACAGTCTGCACCAAACTCTGTGTCTCTGTAGCACCACAATGCTTTATTCATAGTGATTATTATCTATATTTTTATTGCATTTGATAAACTCATTTGGTAAAATAAAAAAAAATAAATGTGTGGTGGTGGGTATAATTTTTCTGCACATGCAACACATATATATTTATATTATTTTTAATTGTGATTTTGAGATTTACAAGTCAATATTATAATTATGTTAGTTAGAATTGTAAATATTTTATTGCCGTATCATAGGTTTTTCAGTATGTTTTAGCACCTCTGCAACTATCTTTTGTGCCTTATGGGGTTTTTTTCATTCATTTTTTCAGGTTTTTATTTTAATTTGTCACCTTTCCGTGCATATGTACATCATGTTGATCTTAATGTATTAGAGATAAAGGAAGAAATCGTGGCCCTTTCCTCATCTGAGTGACACTCTCACCATTTTTCACAGTAGTAATCATCCATCGCCATGGATACTGACAGATCCGTCACTCACACAGCTGTTGTGTTGGAGTTTGTGTTGTTTCCTGGCAAATAACAGCATCTGTGTACGGTAGATATGATACATGCTGATTGAACAGTGGCATCAAATCCATTGAACTTGGAGGAAAATATTTTAATTCTGCTACAAAAGCAGTAGAGGTTTATGTGCACAGAAACACCAGTATGCGTCATAGTCTTCTGTTTCTGTTGTAGTCATTTCATGTTTCATATGTTAATCACTGACCTTGTGTTTCTTCGCCTTCTGTCTTTATTATTCCTGACTATTCTCACCTGTTCCTATCGCCCTTGGTTCATGTGTTTGTTTGGGAGCGTTGTCCAAATTCCTCATCTGTATTTTCAGCGTTCTTGGTTTGTGCTTAACTTTTTTAACGGACATTTAAAATCTGCTCCTGCAAAATTTTAGCGTAATACATAAAGTACCTTTCAAGATCAAATTTGTTTTACGTTTTGTAAGACACAAAAATTAGATGCTATGTTTGGATGACAATATCTCTGGAACTATCAAAGTAAAAGCCTAAAATATATTTTCTGTTATTTATATATGTGTAATATGCAAAAAAGAGGAAAAAAGTGCCTCCTAAAGTGTTTGATATATCAAGCTAAAAATGTAAAATATCAATATAAATAACCACATTTTATGCTGTAAACTTTTCAGGCTGATCAGAGGTGACTGAGCAGAATTTTTTCTAAATCATTTGACGATTTCTCTCCAAGTTCTCTGGCTTCCTCCCACACAGTCCAAAAACATGTTGAGGTTAATTGGTGATTCTAAATTGTCCGTAGGTGTGAATGTGAGTGTGCTTGGTTGTCTGTCTCTAAGTGTAGCCCTGTGATAGACTGGTGACCTGTCCAGGGTGTCCCCTGCCTTCATCCTGAGTCAGCTGGGATAGACTCCAGACCCACGCGATCCTAGTGAGGATTAAGCGGTGTATAGATGATGGATGGATGGATCTGACGATTTGAGATGGAATGACCCTAAATGCTGCTGTTGCTTCCAACAGCGCTGAGCACAATAGTTGCACAGAATCATATTTAACCCTTACATACTGTTCATATTTCATGCCTTCACAGTATAGTTTGGGTCAATTTTACTGTGAAGACTTCCTGTCAAGGATTCCCTCATATAAGTGTCTACACCAAATTGTAAACTGCAGATATCTTTAGAATGTCTAAATAGCCAATGTCACATTAATAAATGCAAATTAAAAACACATAAAACATGGCCTGTACAGTTTCACAGTTTTAAAACCACCATTTTCCTTGATTTGACCCAAACTGGTGGATCTAAAATCCATCTCATTGGATACTGGTGACATTTAACGCGAAACAGCCTCAGTGTACAAACATTTGTAGGACCTGTACAAAAGTATAACATTTTAAACTATTTTCATTTTTGTGTATTTTGGGTCACTTTAGGAGAAGTCATCAAATTTCAGGCTAAAAGAATGATGGTCAGGGTGTTTTTACTGCTGTCAGATGGGTCAAATCTGACTCGAAACAGCAGGTAAGGGTCAAAATGCACGAGGACTGATTTATTGTTGCTCTTAGGGGAATGGTGGAGAGTGTAGATGATGATGATGATGAAGGAAGAAGGGAGCAGGTGGCAGAGCAGGGAGGAAGGACGGGGAGTGACCGTGGCTTTTTGATCAAGAGGCATGCAAGCTGGCGAAGCAGGCGGGGGTGTAGTGGACACGAGGCACAAAGACAACCAGACAACACGAATGAAACGTTAACCACCACTGCAGATGACTAAATGATCTGGTGCACAATCGATGAAAACATGGGGTTAAAACATCGCTGGGCTGAAGAGTAGATGGAAGATACACAGTATGTAAACTGACGATCAATCAGAAAGCCTGCAGGGGGAAGAGGAGCGTCATGCTCACAGTGCAAAAACACAAACACAAAAGAGACACACACCGAAACACAAGCGATGGGCAGGAGACAATTTGTACCAAATCATTTTAAAGGAAAATTCCACAACTTTACAACCTGGATCTTTCTTTTTATAGTCTTCGCCATCATTCCAACATTTACTGGTTTTGATTAAACTTCTAACATGTGAAATAAAAAACAAGCCCAGTTGTAAAACAACAAAAAAAATTCTTTAATATTCTGTTTCACTGGGACACTCACAAACAGTTCAGACGATACACAGCACGTAGGCAACATGAGATCGAGGAGAAAGCTTTCTGCTAATCACTTAATTAATGATTGATTAAGGTCTATTTTTATTCCACCAGCATTGAGCCACATCTTTCCACCGGTCCTTTTGGTCCACAGAAGCATTTATATCTCCTCTACGTGACACTTTCTCTGTGCTTTGGGGGGACAAATGCACACGTCAACACAAATAAGCTGGACAATAACAGCTAGCCACACACAGTGATTTGAAAAGTCAGTGTGGACTGAGAGTGAAACCACACAAGTGAGACTGTAACTTGAACCAAAAGCATTCTGTCTTTAAAAATATCAGATTTCTAACTGACTGTGAAAGCCACAGTAAGTATGTGGGGAACACCTGCTTCTAATCCAAGGAGGAATCACAGAAAGCTACCACAACCACCCTCAAACAACTGCAGCACTGTCATGTGGCAAGTTACCATTTGCAACTGTTCAAATCTGGTCCCACTGAAAGCCAATCCGCCTTAAATGTGGCTGCACGGAGCACGTGGGGAGATGTGCTCTGGTTTGATGACGCCAGGTGGAGGTTACGATCACCGTATTAGGCGTTAACAGAAAGGAGTTTCTACTCACACAGCAAAGCTTTTCTGACTCTTCATAAGACACTATGAGTAAAGAGCAGCCTTTTGTCTTTAAAGGATAAGTTTGGCATGATTCTGGACTTTTTTCATTGATAACAAATCTTCTGGAAAGGTCCAAACCAACAACGTATTATTCCATCTCTTAGTGCTCCATGTGTGTCCCAGCTGTTTCTAATTAAAGAGCCCATATAACGCACATTCACAGGTTTATCATTTCAGTTTTGGGGGCCTACTCGAATATGTTAACATGCTTTAATTCTCAATAAACACATTATTTTTCTCATATTGTACGTTGCTGCAGCACTTCCTCGTTTCCGTTTAGAAAGTGTTTGTAAAGAAATAATAGTGGACTGCAAGGAAGCTGGTTGTCCTGTGTTTGGGAGCAAAAAGAGCCTCTCAGAAGGCCTTATGGAAATGTGTCTACATAGTGACGTAGATAAGTAACAGAAGGAAAGTCTGGACTTCAAAGAAGCTATTTCAGACAGGTTAGGGGCCGTGTTTTCTGCGGGCAAGAGTAACTCCCTTTGCGGTGGACTTTGTAAGTTTGCAGACCTTTTTATGGACAAAAAGATGTAATATGTTCAAAGTGAGGGAAACCCCAAAAAGTAGAAAATGGTCTTAGCATACTGCCCGAATGCTAATTTCCTGAAACAGCTGGGCACTGTAGTTTTTAACAAACATTGCTTAAACAGGAGAAACTAGTGCATTCATTTGGGACTATTTTAAGCTGCGGATGAATACACATTTTCTTGTTCCTGCAATTACAATAGTAGTTTTTTTGGCAGTCATGGAGCTTGAATGCATCAGCAAGTCTTTGCAGAGAAGTCCATTCTTATTAGTGGAATTTGTATAATGGACTGATTGCTCACAGAGGCAAAATAAATTCACTTTTTTGACCGTGCTGGCAAGTTTGTAGTCAGCACATCAGTTTTAGTCTTCCTTTTTTTTTTTTAAACAAGGATGAGCTCTTTGATTTGATTTAAAGGAATAAATTGTTTGTTTTTTACTCTTAACCTTTACAGGAACTATGCAAAATGTTGTATAAGATGATTATTGCACCAGGAATAACTAAACCTGTTTTCATTTGCTCTTTTTCATGTGATTTGTTGAAACTAAAAATGCAGAACATTGGTCAAAATTATCCCTTAAGTTTATTTGCTGGTGGCTACATCCAAAAAAAACCCCAAACTTTAGACTTCTGATATGAACTGTGTACACAAGGCAGTGCTGTAACTGGCTTCTTCTATTATCTACTATGAGCTACACTTCAACATTTAGTGATAATATTGCTGACACGACTCTGACTATTTCATACGACACCATCAGCCACTCTGCAAACAACACACACAAACACCTGAATCAAACACTGAGTTATGGGAAAAGCCTAACGATCCAGTGTGGTGCTAACTAGCACACATCACTGAGCTGTCCGGTTAGAAATCCTGTCCAGCGTCCTTCACTCAAACTCACAGACATGTTTCTGGACTGGTGGCCATGCTGCCGTTTGGTTGTGGCTCTTTCAAGAACCTTTCCACTGCCTGTGAGTCCACTGTGACGCTCTTTGGCCTGGCATCGTCCACGTCCTCTTTGTCTCTCTCGTCCTCCTCCTTCAACTCCTTCATCGCATCCTTCTTTGTCTCCTTCTCCTGCTCCTCTCTCGCTCCCTTCTCCTCTTCGTCGCTCGTCTCTACCGGTTTGCTGCACGCTGTCTCCGTCTTGGTGTCCTCAGTCACCGCGATGCTCTCGAGTTTGTCCGTTGGCTCTGAGGGCTTGGTTTTGATGAACAGAAAGTTGCAACTAGCCAAAACCAAAGCTGCGAGGACCACCTCACTTCCTGCCAGCAGGAAGACGCACATGTAGTTCTTGGTGGCATCGAGCAGCCACCCTGAGACAGAAGAAAGATGAACAAGGATATACAGTAAATACACTTTTTTATAACTTATACCACAATGCCAACTTATATTCTCATTGAAACCCCCTTTTGATAACATACATAAAAAAATAACAGGAAAGACTGCCCTAACTGTGTCTATTATTGCAAGTAATCACACTTGAACTTGCTCTATGGCACTTATCCAGATTGTTTTCTCCTGACTAGATCCTTGCTTGTATTCTCTCTCAGATGTACGTCGCTTCTGCTAAATGAAATTGTAGAATTGTCGAAGTAAAAGGTAATGTAAGAAACACTGGATTTGCATGCAAAGTACACCATCATCTTGACTATGCTGCAGGAAAAGTTATTTTAGCCAACTCCCAATCTGTCAGAAGGCCACACATGAAGCTTACTTGTAACTCCTTGATAATCAACATCAGTTCCCTTCAAGGCTGAACTCTTTCTCCCTGTGCACCAACCGCTACACCTTCAGTCCCCTTCACTGGACTCACTTCTGGAGCAGATAAGTCCGCTTAAAGGTGGAAAATTGATCATCCAGTGGTGGTGCAGGCAAAACCACTTGCAGGGAAGTTGATGGATAAAGATTTCACAAAGAATCCCCATCCCCCTGTGTGACTCCCCATTAAACACTGTCGAGTCTTTCTGCCTCCCGGGAACATTCATCGCCTACTATCAGGATCTCAAGTGGGAGCAGAACAGAAAAAAAGCACAACAAATAATGTAGAGGTGATGCACTTCCACAACTTCATCATTAAGTCTATCCTCACCTCCTCCATCACCATCTGATAAGCTGCTGATGATGCTTCCAAGGACAAAGACAGACTGCAACATGTCAGATTGCAGCTTATAACCGTCAAGATGGTTCTAGGCGGCAATCTGCCATCTCTCCAGGACCTGTACGCCTCTACGACCCTGAGGTGGGCAGGAAAGGTGGTGGCTGACCCTTCTCACCACGGACACAGACTCGTTCAGACACTCCCCTGCAGCAGTCCATCTGGACCAAAACCTGACGGCACTAGAAGAGCTTCTGTCTGCCCACAGCACATCAGCAAGACCGAGGACTCCCCCTGATACAGACTCTTATCCTCCCCCCACAAACATTTCGTTCACAGTGTGTCCACATCTCTCACAATACATTAAATTTAATATAAACCACAGGTGAGATGCCAGGCTCCTCCTGTCTCAACTCTACAAAGCTGGACGAGGACAGATACCTTCATTTGCTAAAGAACAGGTAGTAGCTGGTCTCCACTTATCCAATGAAAGAAAGCTGGAGAGGGAGGGAGTTTCTGATGCAATCAAAACATCTGAAACGCAGTTTGGAAAAAGTATAAATTCTGCTTTAAAGGCTGGAACCTACTTTTCCAATGTACCTACAACGTGTTTTTGAATCGGCCTTCCAAAACGACGGATCAGCTGACCAGACTGTTTGACACACAAGGCTGCACAACATGTTGCTGAGGTTGTGGAGGTATTGTGAGTTGCTGTGGGTTGGCACACAGTTTTTAAGGGTCGCAGATTTTTCAGGGAGCAGGGGAAGATTTAAGATGGTTTTCTTTGGTCGCTAAGGATGATAATTTTAACCCTAAAAAGATCCCTGCTTGAGGAAAGTACCTTCTGAAGGTTAGGGAACTTTGGTGTGGGGCTCACAGCACTAAATAATGCTAACTGGTCAGGAACAACTGCCATTTAAAGAAAAAGAAAAAAAAAGAAAGAAAATGCAAACACGTTTATTTAGTTCTTCTGCTCATTGCACTTCACCAGAACAACAGAGTTGTTAAGCTTTGTTAAGCACTCATGCAAATTCTGACATTCAAAGAGAAGTTGAGATGGCGTTCTGCAATGAGAGGGTCGACCTTCAAATTTTGTGAATGTCAGGTGCAAAACTGACAGTAAAACAGCCTTCGAAATGTCACATGGGGCTTCACAGGGCTTTGGAACATTGATAACTGGCAGATAATAAAGGATGAAAGTACAATTAGTACCTTGGAAACTTCCTGGACATTAGCGTCAAAACATTTGAGGACTGACCATTTATCTCTGTCCCTGGCTACAACCTGACTTCCTCCTTCCTGTTTGTCTCTACAGTTGCTACTAAATAAAGCGCATGATCAAATCAACTTTTAAAATAGCCTAAGCTATTACCATCAGTTCCATAGATTGTGGAGGGTAGACGCATTCAGCATGATGTAGGACTAAAACATTGTCACTGAGCCTCGTGTACCATGATGCAATGGACACTGAGAACATATGGATATAAAAAGCAAGAATAGAGTTGCATAAACTCACTGACCTGCACCAGGTGGCCCCACCAGCACAGCAATAGCCTCCATGAGCAGGACCAGGCCGATGGCACTGGAGAACTTCTCAGTACCAACTATTGCCATGAGAACCTCAAACTGCAGCGCCCCCACCATGCCGTAGGAGACGCCAAAAAAGATGCAGAAGACCACCAGAGATGAATAGTCTTTGGCCTAGTAAGAAATATGACATTGTGAAGAAAAGAAACATTTTAGACTATCTTTTAATTTCCAAGCTCTCAACATGCCCACCTGTGAGCCGATCAGGTCAGTGGTTCCATTGAAGATCATAGCAAAGCTGAAGAGGTAGACGCATCGAGGCCGAACCCATTTCAGTCCGGCGATCACGCCACACGTGGGCCGTGCAAAAATGTCAATGAAGCCCAGGATAGTGAGCAGCAGAGCAGATTTGGTGTCCTCATTCCCCAGCTCCTTAGCGTAGCTCACGACAAACACTGGAGGCACAAACAGCCCCAGAACCATGATGGACGCCGCCACAGTGTAGATGACGAAGCCACAGTCTTTAAAGACAGAGAAGTCCAGCAGCTTGGCTTTGGGCTTCTTCTTCTTTTCTTCCCCATCTTTGTCGTTGTCCTCTCCCAGTTCCTTTGGGGTCTTATGGGGGACAAGAGGCTTCATGAGGGCCCCGCACACACAGCAGTTCAACAGAATGCCACCTAGGATGAGGAAGCCCCCCCTCCATCCATACTGGTACTGAAGGACCTGTCCCAGTGGTGAGAGGCAGCACAGGGCCACAGGGCTGCCTGCTGCTGAGAGGCCATTGGCCAGAGGACGCTTCTCACTGAAGTAGCGGTTCAGCATAATCAGAGATGGCTGGAAGTTCAGAGCTAACCCCAGACCTGCAGCACAAGAAAGAAAGTTTTACCTTCTTTTAATTTAGATCTACAGTCAACCCTCTAACATCACCAGATCTATCGCGTTTGTGCAGTGATTTTTAAGTTCCCCTCGAGAAAAGGTCGGTTTGTCTCTTGTGGGTTTATCAGTGAAGATGAATGTTTTATAAAATGGATTATTTATATTTCTTATCATATTTGCTCTTGATGTGCATGATAGTTCTGAAAATTTGTATGACTTTCTTTGTTGTTTGATTTGATTTGGCTCGTTTGTACGTTGACTATTTCAAGGTAGCTTCTCCTGATGACCACATGTGAAGGCACAGTGAAAAGCTGTTATACAAAGAGGCAACACAAATGTAAATGTGGGCATAGAAAGTGTCTCCTGGAAAGAGTTGGTGGTGCTGTTACTTTGTCACTTCCATAGATGACCAATAGATGCAACACATGGATGTAAATGATGATTGCTGCAGATATCGGTGAACACAGCCGCCTCGTTTCAATGTTGGAAAGATTTGGGAAAAGGTATTTCAGATGCAGCTGGACCATGTGACAAGCACTTGCATGCTGGTGTTCTGTTTGGTGTTTTGTGAAAAGTGAGGCTGTGTAATTGGTTGGCAAATAGACGAATATATTAGAGATTAGTTTGAGGCTCTATTTCCACTTCTGTTTTTGGGGTGACAATTTTTTTTGGGCTGTTTTTCTCATTCTATTTTTCTAATGTAATGATCTGCCTCCTTGAGGATTCAACTAGGTAAACAAAAAAAAAGTCAGTTTTCTGCAGCCAGTCAGACCTGTAATGACTCCAGCAGTGAGGTAGATGTGGATGATGCTGGTGGCGAAAGAGGCCAGGATCATTCCCAGAGAGGCAAAGAGGCCTCCAACCATCATCACTGGACGACAGCCGAAGCGGTTCACCAGGATGCTGCACAGAGGACCTGGACGGAGTGAAACTTACTGTGAGAGGCAGCATGAAAATACAACAGAATTGGAATTCGAAAAGTTCAGGGGCTCTGAATAAGGTAGCAAACAAGTGTGTTTTCCAAAATATTAGGTTCAAGTGGGAAGGACAAGGAAGAATTGAACAGAATTTAGTGGACATGCAAAACTTAGTGTCTTAGTAAAGAATCTTAAGAGCTACTGAATATTAATTTTTATTTCTCAGATGTTGTTTCCATTCTGTTATCTAACCCAAAAAACAAACAAAAGGTGCCCAGAACAGTCTGGCAGATAATCTGAAGTCTATAGGGGGAGAAAAAAACAAAACCACCAAAAAACCAAGC